CAATGTTAAATATACTTACATATAGCCTACCATTATTTCTAGTTCATTTGGGACTCCATAAATTTTATTCCTAATTTTCTTTGGAATCAGATTTATTGATATGGTTGTTATTTACTTTCCTAAATGACTTTAGTTCTTATAATTAAATCTTTTGGTTTTGGAAACTAAATGCAGAAGGAAGTAAAAGGAAACACAGTAAAAGTTAATAAGTTATATAAATTGTGTAAGATCACCAGAAAATTAGTCAGATTCTTCATAAAAATACGTGGTTCTTTTGGATTAATCTGTGGCTCAATTATTTTGTTCATCACAAAATGAGTGTCTAAGGTAAAATGGTGAATATTAGAAGAAATTCAAGAATCAATAACATTTAGTCATTAACATTAACATTACTCGAGTACTTTTTTAATGACATTAAAATTACTATAATAGTGAAAAGATAGATTATGATCATATAAATCATTTATCTAATGAAAAAACCTTACCACCTAAGCAAGAACCAGGTTTTTGTCAAATTTGCAAAGATTAAAACGCAACATAATAAAACAGAGAAATTATCGTGGAAACCCTCCTTTCTCAAGGGAAGAAAAACAACGACCTACACTCGTATGATTTTTCACCAAACTCCACTAACTTCAAAGAGAAACTTTTAGATTACAACTCTATAATCAAAGGGGTGAACTCTAGTACCTCACCTTAACAGTTCGCTCAAACTGTTCAACGGTTAACTATAGCCGTAGACTATACTCTCTAATAAGTCAAATCCACATCTTGTTACAAAGTTCACAAATTCTCTTTCACTCTTAGAACAATTATCCCTAAACAATAATTTTTAAGATGAAACAATGAGATCTAAGCTTTAGAAAGAAAATCTAACTTTAGTTCTTCTTTCCTCTGTCGTCTTGATCTTCTTCGCCGCACTGCTCTTGGCCCAAAGTTCTTTTGATTTATTAATTGCAAAAGCTGTGTTTTTCTTGATCAACGATCCTTTTTTAAGGGTGGATTAAACCCTAATTGAGTCCTACAAGGAAAGCAATTATTTCCCTAGAAAAGCATTCTTATTTGTATAAGTAGTCGTCTGCATTACTTTTTCTTAATTAGGAGTGTTTGCTTTAGGCGCATTATTTCTTCCTTTAATATTTGCCTGAGATGCGTTAATTCTTCTTTCCCGCTCTTTTATCTCATTTCTGGTACATTCTTGTGAACATGGTGTTGAAACCCTATTTTGACCCTTATTTATTTCAATTCATTATTTTCGAGCAAATCTCCTTGACATTCCTTGTTTTTTTTTTTTTTGAAAAGGGATTCATTATATTAGTCTTTCCTTATGCATATACGTCCAGTTATGATTCTTTTCTCCACAAGTGTTGGCATCTTATAACCCATGCTAATGTTTTCCTTAAAACTTGAAAGTTAGCTTAAATTCTAGTGTTAATTTTATTTTATTTTTAGATGTTGTATCTGTTAAGTTTTGTCTTCTGGAAATCAATGTTGATCTTTGTGTCTAATAAAGCTATTATATCCTCCTTGTTAGTGTAGTGATTTATGTTTGGTTCGTTAAAATGAATGGATTATTGCTAAGCTTTGAGACTTCATAATCATGATATCTTCACTTCTTTGAGGTGTGCCCAATTCTTTAGAACAGTAGCATAGAAGCTGATCTGATTTGGTGCCATTCTCCCTATATATTAGATAGTATATATATTTGTGGCGTGACTTTACTTGGCTTTATCTATTTTCGTTCACTATTATTTAAAGTTGTTTATCTTACTAATCTCTTTACCTCCTCTTTACTTGCATGAACTTTGGAGCAAATATGGGGTCCCAATTAAGGACTCGCATAAATAGAGTCTCATGGACTCGACACCATCATACCCGGACATGGATTTGACATCTTAGATTATCCAAATAGCAACAAAAACAAGTGGAACTCATCCGGGATCGCCTATATGACTGCTTATATTACCAGGGGCGAACCCACGTGTTGAGGTTTGGGTGCTCGAGCACCCATTGATCCCGACAGAAACTTTGTATATGTATATAGTTTATCTCATTTCAACATGCTTAGTGCGTTGACGCTGAACAGGATTACCAGCAAGATATATGGCACTCACATTGTCACAATACACCAATGTAGCCTGTTGGATTGGACAATGAAGTTCCAAAAGCAAATTCTCAACCAACATGACTCAGAAACCACATTCGCAATCAACTGACACTTAGCGGACCAAGAGATCAAGTTATCACCCAGAAAGACACAGTAACCCGACGTTGGACGTCGTGTGTCTGGGCATCCACCCCAATCAGTATCGGTGTATGAAATAAGAGTGGATGTGGATGAAGAAAATAGGTGAAGACCAAAGTCCATAGTACCCTGTATGTAGCGCAAAATGCACTTAAGTGGGTGCATGTGTTCCTCCCTCGGGTCATGCATGAATAAGCATACATGTTGCACTGCATACGTAATATCGGGTCTTGTGAACGTAAGGTACTGAATTGCTCCAGCAAAACTCCTATAAAGAGATGGATCCTCAAACGGTTTGCTCGTAGTAGTACCAAGCTTCGGTTTTGTATCAATCGGAGTGGGAGATGCTTTGCATGATGACATGACAGCTCGTTCAATGATCTCAGTAGCATATTTCTTTTGTGATAAAAATAAACCACCTTCATGACGAGTGACTGGAATGCCTAGAAAATAGCTCAAATTGCCCAAGTCCTTCATAGCAAATTCCAAGCTAAGAAGGGAGATGATTGACTGATGGATCTTATTCGAGGAAGTAGTCAAAATGATATCATCGACATATAGTAAAAGATAAGCCATAGAAGTACCTCGATGATAAATGAACAACGAATGATCCGAAGTACTTTGAGAAACCCAAGAGTACGAACATAGTCAGCAAAGCTCTTATACCAAGCCCTTGGAGCCTCTTTGAGCCCATAAAGAGATTTCTTCAACAAACACACATGATTAGGGCGAGTAGGATCTCGGTACCCCAAAGGTTGATACATGTAAACAGTCTCCTTGAGTTCCCCATGTAAGAAGGCATTTTTTTATGTCAAGCTGATGAATCTGCCAAGCCGTAAAGAAAGCCAAATTGAGAGCCATTCGAATAGTCACCGGTTTGACGACCGGACTAAACGTCTCACCACATCCACGCCAACCTGTTGAGTTTTACCATCACCTACAAGACGGGCTTTATGCCTCTCTAATGAACCATCAGATCTTTCTTTATGAGCAAAAATCCACATAGACCTAATTACATTAACATTTGGAGGATGGGGAACCAACTCCCAGGTCTTATTTTCAATAAGAGCATTATATTCATCATCCATAGCCAACTTACAATTCAGGTCACAAAGAGCAGACACAGGGTTACGAGGGAGGGGTGATTTAGACGCTGATGTAAAAAGGCTGAAAGACTTCTTAGGCTTTGAAATCCCTTGTTGACTCCTAGTAACTGGACTCGTGGGCAGATGTGAGGGAGAGATTGGAGTGGGGCGAGGAAGAGAGTTGGATGGGAGAGTGGAAGGAGTAGATGGACTCGGTGTAGTCAACTATGGAAGGCCAGTGGTCGACTGGGGAAGGGCGTGTTGCATGCTGGGCACAGCGGAACCACTCGCTAGGCTAGGCGAGGTGGGTACGGGTGCGTTATGAATAGGTGCAACTTGTGGGTTAGGAGAGGTAGTGAAATGATGGACCAGGTAGGGACATGACCCATCGTCTAGAAACCTATAAGTGTGAGTTTGAGGAGTATGAGACTTTGCATAGGGAAATTGTGTCTTATCAAATATTACATGAAGGCTAATGATGATTTTTCTAGATGACAAATCAAAGCATTTATACCCAAGATGATTTGACAGATACCCCAAAAAAACACAAGGAGTTGACCGGGGTTGGAGTTTGTTTATGGTTGTAGAGGGAATAAGAGGATAACATAAACACCCAAACACCCGAAGATGAGAATAAGATGGATCTTTTTGATAAAGGATGCAGAGAGGAGATTGATAACTTAATAGCTTATAAGGAAGGATATTGAGAAGGTAAGTCGCCATTTGCAACGCATGATGCCAAAAGGAAGGAGGAAGGGAAGCATGGGCCAATAAGGTACGAACAATGTTGTTGATCGTACGAATTTGTCTTTCAGCTGTCCCATTTTGAGGGGATGTATGAGGACATGAAAGACGAAACGAAAGACCATTTGCTTTACAAAAATCCCAAAAGGGGCCATTATCAAATTCTGTGCCATTATCACATTGTATATTCTTTATGTCCCGCTCAAATTGGGTTCCAATAAATGTCTTGAAACTCAAAAATGTGGAAAACGTTTGTTATTTGTGCGATAAAGGAAAAGTCCACAAACATTTTGAATAATCATCCACAAACAAGACATAATATCGATGACCCGCTGAACTCAAAACAGGGGACATCCAAAGATCACTATGGATAATATCAAATGGCATAACAGTGCGAGAATTTGAAGGATAAAAGGGCAACTTAACATGTTTTCCAAGAGGGCAAGAATGACAAATACGAGTGTCTTTAATTTGATTGCATTCAATCAATTTATTCTTCCTAAGAGAGTTCAAAACAGGTGTTCCCAGGTGACCCAGACGATCATGCCAAAGGGATGGTGCCAAAGCAGCAAAAGTAGATGGAGAAGTGGTTGGAGTAGTGATGGGGTACAACTCGCCCTGACTTTCACACCTCATTATCGGTCTCCCCGTCCGAAAATCCTTCACAGAAAACCCACACGGATCAAATTCAACAGAGACAGAGTTTTACTTGTAAGGGAGGACACGACGAAGATAATTTAGTGTGACCATAACCATGAATTGGAATTGATTGACCATTTCCAACTATTATACCCCGTTTATTGCTCATATTAAAATAAGACATGAGGTTACCTTGTGCGGATGTCATATGAGAAGTGGGACTGGTATCCATGTACCAATTTGCATCCAAAGGAGTGATTCTAAGAGCATGCATTGCAGTTTCAATGTCAGTTGGAGATGGAACTGCCGTGTATGCCTGCTGCGGTCTGGGCCCAAGTATACCAGGTTGCTGTTTCGGCTACTGTCCATAATTGGGCCTTGTCCATGAGTTTAATGGATATGGACAAGGAGGTATAGCCCAGCGAGCCCATGGTGCCATCCAAGGCCATGACTGACCTCCAGCCCATGGAAAATTGAGTGGTGAATGCTGACCTGCTGGCTGTTGTCCGCCACCGCGGCTGTTGTCCGCCACCGCGGTTGTTGCCGCCCTCCATCTGACCACCAACTTCAGTCTTAGCCCCACCGCCGCTACCACCCTTTTTGCCTCCACAACCACCAATGTTGCTGCGATTATTGTTGCGGTATTGGTTCCTTTTCCCACCATTAGTATTACGGTGTGAAGAGGAATGATCAACAATATCATGCGAGCCAGTCGACTCACGAGAAACCATAGCTGATGAGGAGTTATGTGCCGCCTTCTTAGCAAGGCCGGCCTCTTCAAGAGTGAGCATCGAGCGGGCCTGATAAAATTGGGGTAAAGGATCACGTTGGCGAATGAGAGTGGCCACACCTTTGTAGGGTTCGGTGAGGCCAGAGACTAGTTGAAGAATTAGTCTATTGTTGTCGACGGGAGAGCCGACATTCTTTAGTTGGTCCGACAAAGATTTGAGGTGCTGACAATAGGCAGAGACACTTGGAAAATCTTTCATGTTCACATGAGTGAAATCGTACTCAAGGGTGACGGCACGAGAGTGTTTGTTATCTTGGAATATGTCACACAATCTATTCCAAGCCTTCATTGCCGTGGTGTCGGGCACAAGAATCGTATGTAGAAGATCATGAGATATAGTGGCATAGATCCACTGTAGAACAGTAGCATCAAGATTCGACCAAAGTTCTTTCTCCTCCTCTGTTTTCGGCGTTTTCTCTTTGCCCTTTGCCGGAGGAATAATATGGTCAAGAACTTGATGGGATCATGCATGAATCTTAAATAGTTCCGCCCATGTGGAATACTGGACTTTTTCCATCTCAAGAACGATGGGAACATGGTTCTTGATGTTGGATACAGCAAGAGCAGGGTGAAAGGACGATTTTGATTCCAACATGATGATAGAGAAGAGACGAAGAAGAGAGAGGGGGGGTAGACGATTTTGAAGAGGAAGCGGAAGGTTTTCCCCTAGAGCTCTGATACCATGAAAGAGTTTGATCCCCTACCTTATTTCATTGATATCAATGGTTTATATACAATCAATACAAGACTATAATTAAGGAAACTAACTAGCTATAAGAGGAACTAAATATACACTTAACTAATGTGATATATACAAAGAATCAGAATATCTTTATCATATATTCTAACACCTTCCCTTTAGAATAAATTAGACTTCTTACCTAGAATCGCATAAGGTTAAGTAGACCTAAATTTAGAGGTAACTTGACATAACTTTAGCAGGATAAGTGGCCTAATTCACCTTTAAAAATAATTAGGTGGCGACTCCTTAAGTTAATTATTTAGGAATCACCAATATGTTGTACACTATTTGACGCAAGTTAAAATTGGATATACAGCTTGGCGACTCCGATGGGAATTTAGGTTCTAAACCATATCAGGCTTAGGTTAATAATTAAAGCATTTTTCTTGTTTCTATTAATTGCTTGTTTTATTTTAATTGCCTAATTCTTTATTTATCATGCATATGTGATATTGATGGCTCTTTCAATCCGGCGAAATGAAATTGGCGTGTACCAATTTGGATTAATACTTTATATAAATTGTTTATTTGTTATTACTTCATATAAATTGTCATCCCGTTTATACTTCCTCCGATTTTGGTACATTTGCACACCCGCAAATTTCTTTCAAAATCCTAATATTTAGGAGAGTTGACGTATGTGCAGGGTGTCTGGATCTTTTTCTGTGTGACCGTGTAGCCTTCTCACTCGAGTTGTCCATCAAAAATAAATTTGTTAATGGAAATTAAATTTCTATCTATAAGTTTTTTTAGACATTTTTCTATCACTTCTTCCGTGCTTTTTAACTCTTCTACCTTCAAAAATCCCTCTCAACCCATAACTCCACAAGTTTATCTACAAAAATCAGTTTATCCTCTGATAAAATTGCAAAATACAGAAAGCATGGTTTTAGGTGAGAATACAAGTGATGGTAACTCAAAGCCAACACTCTCATCCATTGGTATTCAAGATCTGTGCTTATTACTGAACTTACATTCTCAACAACACTTTGCTACTCAGCCACTTCCACATTCCGAGTAGTCAAGATAATTCGGCTTCAATTATTATGGGAAACATATATAGTTTTATTTCATACCAAGCTTTTGTACTCCATATGTCATCAATGACAACCAAATATCTCCCACCTTTTAGAAGCTTTTGCAGTCTGTCCGCTAGTTGGAAATCCTTTTGGCGCTCATAATATTCATTAGTATTTCCATTTATATAAGAAAGAAGGCCTAGAAGTACATTGCTTGCACAATACTTTAGTGAAACAGTAACTTTTTCATGAATTTCAAATCGAGACATAATGAATTGATCATCATAAAAAAATTTTAGCCAAGGTTGTCTTGCCAATGCCCCTATCCCTACAATTGAGTCAACTTCTAGTTCTCTTGCTCCTCTAGCAAGTTGTTCATGCATCATCTCAAATTCATTTTCATAACCAACCATCATAATCTCTGGCTCTAAGGTATGTTGGGATGTATCGTCAAGAGTCAAATTTTTTGCTTTCAAATCTTTGTTGTTGGCATTTGTCCAACATTCCTATCCACTGCTTTGTGGTGGAACCAATGTGCCTTACTTCTCGTTCAGGAGTGAACGGATTTTCCAAATAGCTATCCTCCGTGATATTGGTAAGTTTGCAATGAAAACCTTTCTTGATTCCAAGTCAACCATATCTTGTGCTTTGTATGCTAACTGTGAGATTTGAGCTTCCAAGCCTGCCAACGCCTCGAGATCCACCGTAACTTTCCATGGTTTGTCCAGAATAGCTCTCAAAGATTCAAACTTTTCATATATAGAATGATTGTAAATTACATCCAGTAAGTTGCATTGATTGGTGTATGGTATTGTGCTCATAAGGCAAGTAATAGCAGCATAAGCCATAGTCCCTCTTTCTCAGTATAAGACTTGCTCTGATTTAAGAGAAATTTGACACTCGAAAACGCAACTATGTTACATAAATTGCGACAGAGGAAGTAATATTCTTTCTTTATTTGTTTGTCAGTTAATGGAATGTTATCTCATTTTATGTGAAGGGATGGAATGGAGTTTAAGAAACAACATATAGACTTTTAAAAAATCTTATTCAGAAATGCACATAGAATGTTGAGATTACACAAAGAGATATACATAAAGGACCAAGGACCATATAAAAAGTCTAATCTGAAATGGTAGAAAATTATGAAATACAAACATAGATTGTAAATAATGTATATGGTTTTATATAATTATGTATATAATTTAATAGTACATTTTATGACTATTAAAAACTCGTGTCAAATTTTTTTGTTTCACTCAAATATTTTGTCAAATTAGTATTAGTTAGTTAGTAGATTATATTTTTGAATTAACTATTTCATATTTATTTTATTTCGTTAAGATTAATAAGCTTGTTAATTAATCTTATTTAAATCCTAGTCGAATTTAGTAAATTTGGTTACGTTCTTAATTAGATATGACTATAATTGAAACTGATGTGGCCATGTCCTAATTTGAAATCTAACCTTCTTTGTTATAAATCTAACTATTTTATTAAAGTGAAATTTTTTGTTAGACTAATATTTTCAAGTTATAGCAATAGAATAAAACTTTCAAGTTGTAACAATAAAATATTTCAGGTTGTAATATTTTATTAAGAAAAAAGATTTTTTAAGTAATTGTAAAAAATATTTTTTTGAAAAAAAAAAGATGAAAAAGGAAAAAAAATCAATTTTGAAAAAAAGAAAGATAAAATACGGATAAAGGTGTATTAATTAATTTGGAATTTATTGATGATAATTGTTTTAGCTTAAATTTAGGAGATTCAAACTAATTAGAAATATTTATTTTCCTTAATTCACTCTAATCTGTTAAAATTAATTAAAAAATCTGATTTTATTCATTTTCTACAAAGTTTCTCTCTCTCCATTTTTTTCCAAAATTCTTGTCAGTCACAAATAAATCCATTTTTTTTTTGTTTTAAAAATCTTCATTTTGTTGTGATGGACGATTTCCTATTTATATTAATTAAACATGGTGGTAGATGAGATCCTTCTGGTTAGTATTCTTTATGATTTATTGTTTGTGTTTGTATATTACTGAAACGTAAAAAAAACAATGAAACTATAAATCACATTTTGTGATTTGTTTATGTATACTAGATTTAAGTTGTGATGTTTTTTGTATAAACAATATTTTGTTCATAATACATAATATTTTTTGTGAAACTGTAGTTAATGACATTATTTGATTTTGTTGGTACGTTTGTGTTTGTTTTTTTTTTTTTGGTTATATTGTATACTGTTTATACCATGATTTTGTGTGATATTGGATTAATATATGAATGATTTGAGTATAAATGTATGGAATATTAATAGTATTATCATTGTAAAGTTGTGAAATTTGTGAAAAGTAAAGTATGAAATTTGTTATAACATTGTTATGAAACTGGTATTTCTTTAGTCAATTTGATAATAATAATGAGATGGATTCGGTATGCAGTTTAAAATTATAATATGGATTACTTTTTTTTTTCTTCTGAAAATAGAAATAAAATGTATAGGTTGGAATGAATTTGGTTGTGTAATTGGAATGATAGTGGTATGAAAATTTATTCACTATTGTGTAAAAAATATGAGTAAGAAGTATCATGATTTGTATGAAATGTGTATTAAGTTGGTATGAAATGTGAAATGTTATTTTTTTTATGAAATGTGTTTTATGGTATGAATTTGGGTAGACTGTTTGGAATGCTATTGGTATGAATAAGTAATGACGATTGTGTATAAATTTGTGTGAGAAGAATGATATTGGTATGAAAAATTACTCACTATTGTGTAAAAAATATGAGTAAGAAGTATGATGATTTGTATGAAATGTTTATTAAGTTCGTATGAAATGTGAAATGTTATTTTTTTTTATTAAATGTGTTTTATGGTATGAATTATGATAGACTGTTTGGAATGATATTGGTATGAAAAAGTAATGACGAGTGTGAATAAATTTGTGTGAGAAGAATGAAGTTGTAGATGAAATTTGTATTATCTTGGTATGAAAAGTGAATATAAATACAACATATTTATTATTCATTGTATTATATAAGACTGACTGGTATTTTTTTTTAATGAAATAGGGAAATATGTTGATTTTCAGATGGAGGGGATTATCTATGAATCTTCAAGTTTGTATAGTGGTCTAGTAAGTGTGATAACTTCACAACATAGGATAGATGTTAATATTAATGATATAGAGATTAAATATATAGTTATTGATCGATGTCCGCCTGTTAGTATCCATAATGATATGGGTGTGTGAGTTTTTTTGGATCAAAAGAAAGCTAATATAGATTTCTTTACGAAATATTCATTGTGCATAACTCTGAAGAATATAGCAATGGATAATCAGGATTTTGTAGTTGTTGTGGATAGGAGACATTTTGATGTTAGTAGACCACTAACAAATTTTGATTTACGATCAAATAACTCCATCCGCTTGGTAGGAATGAATTCGGGTGGAGTTGTTGATGAAAATAATGATGAAGGAAATAAAGTAATCAATGACCTTTCTAATCTGTTTGTAGCTGAAA